AAAAAAAAAAAGAAAAGAAAATTTATAGGTTGGTCAAAAGAAGACAGCTTGTTGTATAGGTTGGTCAAAAGAAAGAAAAAAAACCAACAAAGAAACAGGTTGAATAAAGAAAGAAGAAAGAAAGAAAAACCTACAAAGCAGACAGGTTGAATGAAAGAAAAAAGAAAAGAAAAAAGTTTAGGTTGGTCAAAAAAGAAAAAACCACAAAACAGACAGGTTGAATGAAAAAAGAAAGAAAGAAAATTGTATAGAAACAAAGCAAAAGGTTGAAAGAAAGAAAGAAATTTTGGTTGGTCAAAAAAAAAAAAAAATACAAAGCAGACAGGTTGAATGAAAGAAAAAGAAAAAAAATTTATAGGTTGGTCAAAAAAAAAAAACAAACAAAAATTGAAAAAGAAAGAAAGAAAAAGAAAGAAAAACAGGTTGTCAAAAGAAAAGAAAAAACAAAGCAGACAGGTTGAAAAAAAGGTTGGCATCCAAATAGGTTGGTCAAAAGAAAGGGGAAAGCAGAAATGAAAAAAAGAAAGAAAAAATTGTATAGGTTGGAAAAAAAAAAACCTACAAAGCAGACAGGTTGAAAAAAAAGAAAGGTTTTCATAAGTTTGTCTGTGAAAAGAAAGAAAAAAGGAAAGAAAAAAAACCAAAAAAGCAGACAGGTTGAATGAAAAAAAAGACCTTGTATAGGTTGGTCTGACAAAGCAGACAGGTTGAAGGAAAAGTGGAAAAAAGAAAAAAAATTGTATAATCCAACAAATCACCTACAAAATCAACAAAGCAGACAGGTTGAATGAAAGAAAGAAAAAAAAGAAAAAGGTTGGTGAAAGAAAAAACCAACAAAGCAGACAGGTTTAGGAAAGAAAGAAAGAAAAAAAATGAAAACCAAACTAGAAATGAAAAAAAGAAAAAAGCTTTTGGACTCAGGTTGGTCAAAAGAAAGAAAAAACCAACCAGACAGGTTGAAAATGGTCAAAAGAAAGAAAAAAAACCAACAAAGCAGACAGGTTGAATGAAAGAAAAGAAAGAAAAGAAAAATTTATAGGTTGGTCAAAAGAAAGAAAAAACCAACAAAAGCAGACAATAATGAAAAAGAAAGAAAGAAAAAAGAATTGTATAGGTTGGTCAAAGAAAAAAAACCAACAAAACAGACAGGGTTTGAATGAAATTGATGAAAAAATTGAATAGGGTGGTCAAGAAAAACCAACAAAGCAGACAGGTTGAATGAAAGAAAGAAAAGAAAGAAAAAAAATAGGTTGGTCAAAAGAATGAAAAAACCAACAAAGCAGACAGAGGTTGAATGAAAGAAATAATCCTGGTCAAAAGAAAGAAAAAACCAACAAAAGCAGACAGGTTGAATTAAAAAAGAAAAAAGAAAAATTGTATAGGTTTAATCCTGAAAAGCTTAATATCAAAAGAAGAAAAAAAACCAACAAAATGTGAAAAGAAAAAAAAACCAAGCAGACAGGTTGAAAAAGACAAAACAGACAGGTTGAATGAAAGAAATAAAAAAGAAAAGAAAAATTGTATAGGTTGGTCAAAAGAAAGAAAAACCAACAAAGCAACAGGTTGAATGAAAGAAAGAAAATGAGAAATTTTTGGTCAAAAATTTGAAAAAAAAAACAAAAAAGCAGACATTGAATGAAAGAAAGGTTGTTGTTGGTGAAAAGAAAAAACCACAAAGCAGACAAGTTGAATGATTTTGACAATAATCTGTATAGGAAAAAACCAACAAAATAATGATAAGATGGAAAGCAGAAGGTTGAATGAAAGAAAAAAATTGTATAGGTTGGTGGAAAGAAAAAACCAACTGATAGGTTGAATGAAACAAAAGAAAGAAAGAAAATTGTATAGGTTGGTCAAAAAGAAAAAAAAACCAACAAAAGCAGACAGGTTGAATGAAAAAGAAAGAAAGAAAGAAAAAAAAAAATTCAAAAGAAAAAAACCAACAAAGCAGACAGGTTAGTGAAAGAAAGAAAGAAAGAAAAAATTTAGGTTGAAAAAAGAAAGAAAACCAAAAAAGCAGACAGGTTAGATATGTCAATTCTAAAAAGAAAAGAAAGAAAATGTATAGGTTAACAAAAAAAAGAAAAAAACCCAAAGCAGACTTTTTGGATACTTTGGTTAAAAAAGAAAATTGTATAGGTTGGTCAGAAAGAAAAAAACCAACAAAGCAGACAGGTTGAATGAAAGTTTAGGTTTCAAACCAAAAGAAAAAACCAACAAAGCAGTTTGGTTGAATGAAAGAAAGAAAGAAAAGAAAAAATGTATTGGTTAAAAAAAAAAAAACCAACAAAGCAGACAGGTTTGAAAGAAAGAAAAGAAAGAAAAATTGTATAGGTTGGTCAAAAAGAAAGAAAAAAAAACCAACAAAGCAGACAGGTTGAATGAAAGAATTGTTGGGTTGGTCAAAAGAAAGAAAAAAAAAACCAACAAAGCAGACAAGGTTGAATAAAAAAGAAAATTGTATAGGTTGGTAAAAATAAACAAAGCAGACAGTTAAATGAAAAGAAAGAGAAAGAAAAAAGACAAAATGAAAAAGAAAGAAAAAGAAAGAAAATGTATAGGTTTCAAAAAAACAAAAGACAGGTTAAAATTGTATAGGTTGTTTCAAAAAGAAAGAAAAAACCAAAAGCAGACAGAAAGAAAAAGAAAGAAAGAAAATTGTATAGGTTGGTCAAAAGAAGAAAAACCTACTAAAGCAGAAGGTTGAAAAGAAAGAAAGAATTAAAAGAAGGAAAATTGTATAGGTTGGTCAAAGAAAAAAACAAAGCAAAAAAAAAAAACCAACAAAAAGAAAGGTTGAATGAAGAAAATTTGAAAAGAAAATTGTATATGGCAAAAAAAAAAAAAAACCAACAAAGCAGAAGAAAAGTCAAAAAAAAGAAAATTGTATGAATGAAAGTTGGTTGGTCAAAAGAAAAAGAAAAACCAAAAAAAACAAAGCAGACAGGTTGAATGAAAGAAAGAAAAGAAAAAGAATAGGTTGGTCAAAAAGAAAAAAAAACCTACAAAGCAGAAAGGTTGAATGAAAAAGAAAAAAAGAAAAAATTGTATAGGTTGGTCAAAGAAAGAAAAAACCAACAAAGAAAGACAGGAAAAATGTTGGTCAAAAGAAAAAAACCAAAAAGGAAAGAAAGAAAATTGTATAGGTTGGTCAAAAAGAAAGAAAAAAAAACAAAAGCAGACAGGTTGAATGAAAGAAAGAAAAAAAAAATTTGGTTGGTCAAAAAAAGAAAAAAAACCAAAAGCAGACAGGTTGAATAAAAAAAAAGAAAAGAAAAAAAATTGTATAGGTTGGTCAAAAAAGAAAAAAAAACCAACAAAGCAGACAGTTGAAGAAAGAAAGAAAAGAAAGAAAATTGAAAAAAACCAAAAAAAAAAAAGAAAGAAAGAAAATTGTATAGGTTGGTTTAAAAAAAAAGCAGACAGGTTGAATGAAAAAAAAAAAAAAAAAGAAAAAATAGGGTTGGTCAAAAAGAAAACCAACAAACCAACAGGTTGAAAAAGAAAAGAAAGAAAAAGAAAAATTAAGGTTGTCAAAAGAAAGAAAAAAAAGGTTGGTCAAAAGAAAAAAAACCAACAAAAGCAGATAAGAAAAAAAAGAAAAAAAAAAAAAAACCAACAAAGCAACAGGTTGAAAATGGAAAGAAAAAAGAAAGAAAAATTATATAGGTTGGTCAAAAGAAAGAAAAAACCAACAAAAGCAGACAGGTTGAATGAAAGAAAAAGAAAAAAAAATTGAATAGGTTGGTCAAAAGAAAAAAAACCAACAAAGCAGCAGGTTGAATGAAAGAAAGAAAGAAAAAAAATTATGGGTTGGTCAAAAGAAACCAAAAAAACCAACAAAAGAAAGAAAGAAAGAAAAAAAACCAACAAAGCAGACAAGTTGAAGAAAACAGGTTGGTTGAAGAAAGAAAAAGAAAAAAAGAAAAAAACCAACAAAAGACAAAATGAAAGAAAAAAGAAAAGTCAAAAGAAAAAGAAAATTGTATAGGTTGGTCAAAAGAAAAAAACCAACAAAGCAGACAGGGATGAATGAAAAGAAAGAAAAAGAAAATTGTATAGGTTGGTCAAAAGAAAGAAAAAACCAACAAAGCAGACAGGTTGAATGAAAGAAAAAAAACAAAAGAAATTGAATAGAAAGAAAAAGAAAGAAAGGTATAGGTTGGTCAAAGAAAAGAAAAAACCAACAAAGCAGACAGGTTGAAATGAAAAAAAGAAAGAAAGAAATTGTATAGGTTGGTCAAAAGAAAGAAAAAAAAAACCAACAAAAGACAGGTTGAATGAAAGAAAGAAAGAAAGAAAAAGAAAGAAAAAACCAACAAAGCAGACAGGTTGAATGAAAGAAAGAAAGAAAGAAAATTGTATAGGTTGGTCAAAAGAAAGAAAAAACCAACAAAGCAGACAGGTTGAATGAAAGAAAGAAAGAAAGAAAATTGTATAGGTTGGTCAAAAGAAAGAAAAAACCAACAAAGCAGACAGGTTGAATGAAAGAAAGAAAGAAAGAAAGAAAGAAAGAAAGAAAGAAAATTGTATAGGTTGGTCAAAAGAAAGAAAAAACCAACAAAGCAGACAGGTTGAATGAAAGAAAGAAAGAAAGAAAATTGTATAGGTTGGTCAAAAGAAAGAAAAAACCAACAAAGCAGACAAAGAAAAAAAAAAATAGGTTGGTCAAAAGAAAGAAAAAAACCAACAAAACAGACAGGTTGAATGAAAAGAAAGAAAAAAAAAAGAAAATTGTATAGGTTTGTTGAATGAAAAAGAAAAAAAGAAAGAGGTTGGTCAAAAAAAAGAAAAAAACCAACAAAAGAAGGTTGAATGAAAAAGAAAAAAGAAAGAAAATTGTATAGGTTGGTCAAAAGAAAGAAAAAACCAACAAAGCAGACAGGTTGAATGAAAGAAAGAAAGAAAGAAAATAATAGGTTTCAAATAAAAAAAAAAACCAAAAAGCAGAAATTGAATGAAAGAAAGAAAGAAAAGAAAAAAGAAAAAAAAAAGGTTGGTCAAAAGAAAGAAAAAACCAACAAAAGACAAATGAAAAAAAAGAAAAAATTGTATAGGTTGGTCAAAAAAAAAAAAACCAACAAAGCAGACAGGTTGAATGAAAGAAAGAAAGAAAGAAAATTGTATAGGTTGGTCAAAAGAAAAAAAACAACAAAGCAGAATAGGTTGGTCAAAAGAAAGAAAAAAAAACCAACAAAGCAGACAAATGAAAGAAAGAAAAAAAGAAAATTGTATAGGTTGGTCAAAAGAAAAAAAAAAACCAACAAAGCAGACAGGTTGAATGAAAGTCTCTTCAGGATAGGTTGTTAAAAAAAAAAAAACCAACAAAGCAGACAGGTTGAATGAAAGAAAGAAAGAAAGAAAAAATAGGTTGGTCAAAAAAAGAAAAAAAACCAACAAAGCAGACAGGTTGAATGAAAGAAAGAAAAAAGAAAATTGTATAGGTTGGTCAAAAGAAAGAAAAAACCTACAAAGCAGACAAGTTGGAAGGAAGGAAATGAATAAATAGTACATGGGTTGGATGAAAGAAAGAAAGAAAGAAAAGTGTATAGGTTGATAGAAAGAAAGAATAATAGGTTGAAATATAGAGCAAATAATAAAAAGATAAAAGAAAAAAACAAAAATTAGCAGCCACAAAGCTGGAAAAAAATTATGAAAAAATATAAGACTTCAAAACGGAAACTAAAGGTGTGGCAAGAAATGGGGGTGAAAACAAAAAGATAACATATGAATAAATAATAATAAAATAAAAGATGACCAAACAGAAGACAATTTACACGCAATAAAATAGATGCCATTTCCTTTCTGTCACTTGAAATTATTTCATTGCAGATTATTTCGAAAAGGTTTTCATATTTTTGCAGATACTTATCTTGTTCAGGCATCTGGAAGGAAGCAATTCAAAAGGAAAGATAAAAACAAAAACATAATGATGAAAAAGAAATTGAAAAGAAATGGATTTTCTTCTTTTTTTTTTTGGCTGATTCACTGATGTAACCTGCCTTCTACCTTTCCTTTGTATTTCTTACATATCTTTAGCCTTGAAAAATCATTTTGAGTTCTTTCACAATTATATGTTTGGACTCATGTTACTGATTTCATAGTTTCACCCATGTTATGAAGAAAGAATTGGAAATAAAAGTTTTTAAAAAAAAATGTTGTGAATAAGTCAAACTAGATATAAAAAGACAAGCACTGGTCTTTTAAGCATCCCATGCCACATCCCAAACAAACCTACTAATAGAAAACAACATTCCAGTTTTCCCTCCTGAAGCTATTTTCTTTTATCAAATGTTAAAAACGGTACAAATAAACAAGACTCTTAACTACTATGTGAAATTAAAGAAAATTAATTTATTACAGAACATAGTAAAACAATAAAACAAGGACAATATTTTACAAGATGGGATTGCACAAAAATTTCCTTTTGTGAACCGTATTTAAAAAATAAAATATCAAGAAAAATACTCATGATTTTAAGATTTCAAAACAATCTTTGAAAAATGAAAAAACTTTGAAAAGGTAATGCAAATTTTGAATAAGGCATAAAATACTTTTTAAAAAAAGAGGTGTACCCTCTCCTAAAAGAAAAAAATGAAAAAAATCTCAGAACGATAAGAGCTTAGGCAATTTTCAAACTATCAATGTCATGGAGACTTTTTATAATTTTCCCTTTATGGAACACTGTGCTAATAACAGGTGTGGTTCCTTTTTGTGCATGCTTCTCAAGAGGTAGCCAAAAATTGATTCCCCTTCTGGGTCCTTATTCTGCCTTCTGGATGAGATTTTTTGTCAATTTGTCTTTATTGAAATATTTGGTTCTTGTTTGAAGATTTGATCTCTTTTGAAATTTGAAAACTTCTTCCACAGCTAGCAGGCACCATTTCTTTGTGAGACTTATCACTCCCTTCAAACAACCTAAACACCTTCTGCCTTGAAATTTGATTACATTCTGAAGCTTATCTGCTGGCTCTTCTCTTTATATAACAAATGAAGGGGCTCCAGATAGACCTTAATTTCAAATTTACGAGGGCATAAACCCACGTCTTTGATTGAACAATAAAGAGAAATTGTGCATAATATTTTAATTTAAAATATGAAATTGAAACAATCCACCTTGACCAAAATATTTTAGGTGGCTCTTTAACAGTCAATTCTAAAAATAGAAAAGTTCACACACAAATGTAATAATTTTTTATAAAGTTTGGCTTTCTTTAAAATATACTTTACTAAAATTTTTATAATTCATGGCACCAAACCTGTTCAGAAATATCTAAACTGTCAGTTGTATACAACCACTTTTTCAAATCAATGGTCAAAAATGGTCCCTAAAAATTTCATTTAAGAGAAAGATTTTATAAATTTCAACCAAAAGTAGTACTGTCTGTTTGGTCAATGAAAGCCAAATGCTTCCTTATAAGGAAACAATTAATATCACCATTTCATTTTTTTCTTTCTGTGTCTGCTATCAACAGAGTTGATTTTGTATTGTTGGCAGACTCAGGAAGAAAACTAAAAGAACTCAAAGACAAGGCACTAAATAAAAGCAAGAAAAAAATGATTAACCATTAGTTGGAAAAAGACTGAATACATGATGGTCAGCAAAAGGGACAGACCGAAGTGTGAGCTACATGTTGGGGATGTCAAAATCAAACAGGTACAGAAGTCTATCTGTTTAATGTAGTAAACAGAAATCCGAAACTTCAAAGAAATAGTGAAAGATGCTTTTTAGAAACTAAGCAAAGTATTAAAAGAAAGGAAAATGTATTAGAAATGGGTAAAAGCATGTAGAACTGCTATGTAATCTCCTACAAATGAAAAGATTTGAAATTGACCTGGCTTTCCATTTCCCTGAAGCAAATATGAAACACACAAGAGTGTAGTGTTATCGCCTCCTCTACCTCCCTTTCTTTTCTTCTTTTCCCTCCCCTTTCCTAAAACTACATAGTGGTGGTGGGGGGGACCTTTGATATATCTCTTCAGTTTTGTGGGCAGGGGACAGGTAAGCTATTAGAGTTCTACCCCCACAATCAAACAGGAATGGCCCATTGTTTATATCCAATAATGGTAGGGTGTAATACTAATTGGAAGAACAACATATCTCCATGGATCAAATAAAGGGATTTTGTTTCACATTCCAGGAAGGTTATTAAATATGACAAACATCTCAGAAAGGTCAGAGGGTACAAGAGATCAAAACTTGATATAAAGACCACTAAGATGAGGGAACAGGGACAACATGTCGACTAATAATATAATGTAATAACATTTTACTTTGAAAATTTAGATAGAAGTACTTTTGAAGATATATTTACTTTTGTAAATTTAAAGAGATAAACATGTATGATAAGAATTCATTTTGAAAGCTCTGTGTTAAATGCTCCAGAGTTTAGCACAATTTCGCAAAGATTATTGTATAACAAGTACCTTTAAAAATACAGGTATACTTTAGAAGTGGGTGTAATTTGAAGAGACAATGCCATATCGCTTTGAAAATTTTTATGGAAATTCTTTAGAGGTGAATGTAAATTTATGACATCGTTCTCGGATTGGGGTATCATCAGTGATTCTTATTGCTGTAAGTATTTATCAGGAAGTATTCAGATCAGATCAAGACTATTAATAATGCTATATTTTTTATTTATTTCCCAAATGGTGTGGCGTGTCTCATAGGTGTGGCAGAAGAGGATAGAAGGTGAAGTGGAATGATTGAAAGAAAATCAAAGATTTAGAAACAGTTTAAAAAATTCAAATGCCAAAAATAAATATGCTTTCAAAATTAAAAATATTATTAAGGATTACTTGTAATTGCTTGAATGAGTCCCAGTATAAATAGTTATAAATAATTATTGACCAGTTTTATCATTGTGATATTTTTGCATTATATCAAGTATTAAGAATATAGTAACTAGGGTCCGCAAATTGGACAAGAGAGTTATCAATAATAATGTTCTGACTCTGAATCCACACTTATCTCCCTTTAACTCTCTCACTGTTTTTTTTTTTATTTTTAAATGTACTTTTTATCACATAAAATTTGGTGAGGCACAAACAAATTTTCATTCTGAAAATGTGACTCAGAGGAAAAAAGTTTGGGAACTACTGTCTTAGAGTATACAATCCTATTCTGCATTTAATTATGAACTCCAGAATCTTTTCCATGGCTGTGTAATATTTGCCTAGGGCTACAAACGTTTTTCAATTTAGAGTTTCTCCTTCTACACTGGTTGTCAACTACGACTTGAAAACCCTGTCTGTATTGCTATTTAGCTCATAGCTGATCTAGACATACATAATTGCAAAATTTTAACTTTTGTGTACTGATAAGGCATTGCTTTCACTAAATGTTTTAAAAAAAAACACAACGATCATAAACTAACATGTCTTCTTTTGTATTTTGGGCAAACATTCTTCTTCTTTTATATGCCATGTCTCTTCAGGATATATGTGTCATAGCTCTCCCCAATTTCCTATCTCTAAGTAATGTTTGTCTCCTTGCTATCTCACTCAGTCCCTGCTCTACTGTGTAAGTTACTTTCTATTTCCGTCTATGACTCATGCCTTTTCTATAACCTATAAATGTCAAATACTCCAAACCTTCTTTCCTCAAGTTTCTCAGAAATTTCAACTGTTTCTTTTTGATTTTAAGTATAAGTGTCTTTTTTGGTTCCATTTTTCTTAAAACTTTCTCATTGATTACATGTTCTATTCAAGGTATTCTCAGTATCTTTCTGTAGAGCCACATTTCTGTTGCCTTAAGTCTTGTCTTCATTTGTGAGGAGATTGTCAAGCATTCACTGCCACATAGGAGAATTGATGTTACATAACAGTTTAGCATAGTTATTTTCGTTTTCAATGAAGTTTTCCTGTTTTTTAATACTTTGATTAGCTTTTGGAAGGCATCATTTTCTATTCCAATGTGCCTTCAAATTTCAATGTCACATTTTCCATTATATGAAATGTTGAATGAGTTTATTTGCTTGATCCTGTCTTTATTTAGGGATCATCTCCATTTTGTCTTCAGGTAGTTCAGGGTAAAGAAGTAAATATGACTAGTCCTTGAAAATTCCAACTCCTACCCAGTCTTTTGAACAAGAATAGAAACTTATTTCTTATTGCCTGTTTAGGGTTGGGTTTTCAGTTCCTTCTAAAGTAATCTAATTCTCTTTCACTCTTTGTATCTTAGTGACATTGTCACCTTGCTTGGAGTGAATTGATAAAAAAACAACAATTCACCATGTCACTAAGGGGAAGGATTGTGGGTCAGTCTAGTCCTTTGTGGCACTGATCAATTTTTGCTTTTATCCATTTGTACCTGTGTAAGGAGACTCACAGTAAACCTGACGCTGTTTTGCATTTGCCTTTTTTTGGGAAACGAATAAATACTGAATCCGCGGTGAAAAAGAAATCAATTAAAAATTGGATTTTAAAAACCGCGAAAATGGTTCAAGGGAAATAAATCTTCTTCTTCGTTTTCCACATCACGAAATCAAACGAATGTTTTATTAATGAGGGAGTGAATTAATTTATTTATTTATTGATGCACCGTGTCATCGGTTGCCCAGAAATGGTTTGAGGACCATAATGGTGACTTTTGATAAATGATGTGGCCACCATATTTGCTCAATATGAATTCAAT